GCCAAGAACTGCTTATTATTGATTAAAAGAGGTACTAGTTTCACTGGCATATTATTTCACTTATAGCAACACATTTTTCCCACGTTATAAGTTTGGTCTTGTTTCAAATGTGCAAAGATATTTGCAACTAGAAACTAGACAAAAAAAAGTTGGTAAGATTTTGTATTTTTGCAGCGTGCTTGCTCAAAAAAATTGGACAAATCTTCAAACTTATACTTACACAACATCACAGTTGGCACAGTACATAAAATGTGCAACCTCTTACTGGGTTATTCAAGTTTGTATTTATTTTTTTCAAATGTGGCTTCATTCAACAGATTTATTGCTGAGACGCATTATTAGATCAAAGAAATATTAAACCAAAGACTAATTTCAATACTTCTTTTGCAAAGTATAGCTGTAGTAATGTTAAAACTTTTACTAAAAAAAACTAAGAAAATAAAAGAAATGACAAGAATGCTCTTAATTTAAGTAATTAATCTATCTCTCTACAGTATTAAAATTTGACTGGAGGGAGCAGCTCAGGTGATAGATGCATGGCCGTCTTAGGTTTTAGTACTTTGTAAAAATGCTGATTAAAAATACAGAATAATCTGTGCTTTGATTTTCAATCTTATTTTCTCTTTTTTAGTTTCTGTCTTAAAGGGGAGGGTCTGGACGACAGCTGTCCTGCAGTCATCGACTACACGCCTTACCTGAAGTTCACACAGAGGTAAATCCAAAGAAATGATTCACATCAAACCGGTGTGACACTCTTAGGACCGCAAATAAATGTCAAAGAAAAAAAAAAAAGACCAATAAAAAAGTAGATATTTTTGCAGAAGGAATATAGTAGGCGGATGTTCTTAATACACTACAATACCCTTATTGGTACCTTTGCTTGCAATGCTTTGGTTTCACAAAGTCAAGATTTACTATTTACTTTATACTTAAAAAGTAAAATATAAATATAACTTAAAAACGATAAATCAATAACTATTTATTTATCTCAATAGACACCAATATTCAATGTGTAGTATATTCACTGCCACCTGCACAGCATTCTGGGTGATGTAGGTAGAGGAAAGGCTTTGGCTGCTCAACCTCTCACACGCAGCAAGTTTAGTGGCATCAACTAATGCTCCGTGGTTACCTAGCAACTCACTTACTCTTTGGTTACCTAGCAGCAACTGTTAAGTAACTTGCACAGCAGCAGTTTCAGGTTTCGCCGACGTGCCTCATCACTGCTTAAAAATAAAAATTGGCGGGAAGTGAAAACTGTGACCAAAACAGGAAAAGTCACATCACCAGTTTGGCAGCAGTTCAGATATTTAAAACAAAAAATAATCAGTAATTATTGATGTAGACTCATATGAATCGCTAATATGAGTTTTTCAGCCATATTGAGGTGGCAATAACTCTTAAAAAGATTTTTTCCTCAGAGAAAAAAGGTACTGAAATTAAAGTCATATTTTAAGTGTTATAAAAAAAAATCTTCATAAAGATTTTTGAACATAATGAGCACAAAATGCTAATAATTGTGGACAGTTTTGCTGTAAAGCATAAGCATAACAAACTGTGGTGCGCTTAAATTGTGGGTAAATAATAATAATAAAAATTGCAGACAAATTTTAAGAAATAAACAAAATTATATCTCATCCAGTCTCCTACTTGCATAATTTCATTTAAAAACCCAAGAACTTTTGCCTGCTGTCAGGGAGTGAGATGAAGTGCAACAGAAGGTCAGACGTGTGTCAGTTTGGCCAACATGGCTGCATACTGATATGAGGTCTGGCTCCCTGTGCAGCGCAGACAGCATCAGCAGCGATGAAGAGGAGATGAGGACTCTGGGAAGCAGTGGCAGCGAGAGCAGCACCCCTGACAAGACGGCCACCGCCGCATCAATCTTCACCGAGCAGAGCAACTTGGTCAGCAAGTGCAAACGCTTTGAGCAGAAGTATCGCATGGCTCTGGAGCAGAAGGTGTGTTGTTTTGTGTTGCTTTGTGTCGGGTGACGTTATATGAGACAGCGTGACATTTCCACGTTAAGTAGCCAGCTGGCTTTTGAAATGCCAAGAAAGAAACAACAGGATTACCGCTCCTGCTAAGTCTAAAAATGTGCTTTTTTTTTTTCCTTTTTCCTGCCACGTTTTGTTTGTATTTAGTGAAAACAAACGTGTCAGATATGCATTAGCACAGCGGCGCCTTCATGAGAATAAACAAACAAGTCTGTCTTGTGTGTGCCTGTGTGTGTTTGCTCGCCTCAGGGTTACCTGGAAGAGCTGGTCCGTTTGCGGGAAGCTCAGCTGTCGGAGGCCGTTTCTCATAACAAAGCCCTTCAGCAGAGCCTGGCAGACACACACCTCTCACACACACTGGAGAAACAGCAGCTTGAGTATATCATAGTGGAACTGCAGAACCAACTGTGAGTCTTCTTTAGAGGGGGTTTGTGTCTGTCGGTGTGTGTGTGTACGCGTGGCTGAGAGCTTCGAGGCAAATCTTACTGCAAACTTGACATTTAGAGCAGCAAGAGCCCTGGGGGCTGCAGGGGTTTGTTATGTCTCAGGATGCACTTTTGACATGGTGAGAAATTGTGTTTATGAGCAAAACTAAACTATAGCATCTCGCAAGTTTTCCCAACCTCTAGATGATTTCTATATCTTATAAAGCGTATGATTTTTATATGAGAAACTGATGCAGTTTAGTAAATAGAATAGAATAGAAATACCTTTTGTTATCCCACAATGGGGAGAATAACTGTGACAGGCAATAACAGCAAATAGACTCACACAAAGATAGGACATAAAATATATACCAAAACACAATACCGTTGTTTTTGTTTGTTTGAAATGCTAAACAAATGTTCCCCAATAAAGATACTGAACTGAAATTTCAACATAAATACCATGTAGTTATATAAAAAAAATACTCCAGTCCAGATTAATGTGCAACTCAGTTGGTTAATAAAAAAAATTACAAAATATGCACATCTATTTGAGCAATAAAATATAGACTGTTTACAATCAGTGACAATAAAAGTTGTATAAAGTACAGTCGTACAGATACCATCATGGGCTTAAACACTGAGTTTCTTGAGAGCAGAGATGGTGATGGCAGCTCCAGCTGTACTTTATTTTCCTGCTGGAAGGTGAACCTTTAAACCGGTTTCACGTCTTTTGCAGCTTCTAACACTGGGCTACGTGAACTAGACATAATGGAGCAGAGCGACCTCTAGAAGAAGCAGGACGCTAGCCGTTTGACGCTCCTGCTGTAAACTGTAAAGTTTACCAAAGTAAACTTTACGGTTTACTTTGGTAATTAAATAATAATAATAATAATAATAATAATAATAATAATGCTGGCTTTGTCATTTTTCTGGATTTCAGGACTGTGCTGAAAAACAATGACTTGCGTTCCAGACAGGAATTAACAGCCCATCTGACCAATCAGTGGCCGTCTCCAGATGCCTTGGATGCCAATGCTGTTGCCTTGGATACGCTGCTGTACAGGAAAAGCACCGGGCAGTGGGAGGAGTACGTAATATGTGTTTGATTGTCCAGTTTCTCCAATTCATTTAACTCAACATGTTCTGATTGTCACTGATTTCCATATCGCATTTCACTTTTTTAAATGTTTACAGTGGTTTTGTTTTATCTGTATGATTCGAAAACCATAAAAAAATACAAATTATTACCTTTTAGATACAGCTGTCCAACAACTCAAAAGAGAACACATCAAAGTCCAGGCTTAAGGTGGCAGATACATTAAAGTTCCTGCAAAGTCTAAGACTTGCTTTAAGTTTGATACTGTTTGTAACTTTATCAGTTACTGAATTTGAAGAAAATTTCCTGTAGTAATTGTGGAATTAAGCAAATACAAGTAATTTCTGTAACCCTATCTGAGCTAAAACAGGAAAAGTTGAGTCTGATTTAATGCTACACACGGCTTCTTTTTCATTTTTGTGCAGGAAGAGTTTCCAGAGTCTGGAGCAGCTGTCTGCAGGCATGAGCCTCACATCAAACACACAAGGCAGGTCTCCTCTCATAAACAGAAATACCTGCTTTCTCCATCTCTTGCGCACTGAATGTGCACTTTGTTGTTCAGGTAAAGAGGAAACTCCGTCTCTCAGAGGCCTCTGTGGCTCCCTGACCTCGGTAGCCAGCTATAAATCTCTGGCCAGCCTGAGGTCCAGTGAGTGTTTGGCCAGTCCAGCGACAGAGATCAGCAGCCCAGGCGTCACTCCGTCATAGGAGACGGGACGTCCAAACAGCTCGTCAGTTCAAGAATTCAGAGGAGTCAGGAATTGATGCTGATTTTTCTGTTTTTTAACTCTGAATGAGGAGCTGGTGTAGCTCATCAACACCAAAAGACTGGAAACTGTCACAGCTGATGTAACTTTATCAACATGAGTTCAGATTAGTTTGCTTCTCGTCTGTGTGGCATAATTTCTCTCCCACTTTGGAACTGTGTCGATTTTAGAGCTGCTGTACGAATTTTCATCGCATATTTCAATGTTGCAGAGATGATTTGGAAAGATTGTGCTAAAAATACTGACTGTAGATCAGATCAGTTGCTACTTTCCTGCAGACTGAATGAAGCAATGTCATTTTCTGTTCTAATACAGAAGGATACTGGAGGTTAAACCACTGGTGTATTTAATTTAAGATGTAAATGTTTGTCTTTTGTTTTGCCACCAGTGTCAGTGTTGTGCATTTTGCATCGTCACAGGATTTTGTTCTCAGGTAATCATCCTGCACTTCTGGATTCTCTATAAAAACTAAGATGCAGTATTTCAATTTAATAGTTATCTACTGGCAAGTTGATATAATTTGTTTTTAGATGTTTGCATTGACTTGCATAAAAAAAACCAAGCATTTCCTGCTTTAGGACATCAGAATAAAGTAATTTGGATATGTGGTCACTAGCTGTTTACCTCGGCACTTGAATACGGTTTTATGCCTCCAACTTATTCCAGCAGACATTTGCACAGACATTAACTGGATACTTTATTGAACTTGTTTGCATTTTTTTAAATATTTTATTTTAAATAAACAACTTGCTTTCAGACACGTGTGCTGATGTCCACAGAAACAGGTGGAGTGGGAAGACGTGGAAATGCAGAGGAAATAAAATCAGAACATTGTGAGAAATCACATTTTCATGAAGTTCTTGTGGCTCCCGGTCGTCCCTCTACTTTAACAATTCGGTCAACATGGCTCTTTGGTGAGAAGCAGCAGGATAAAGCTATCTTCAGGCACAGTGCACATGATTCCAGAGAAAAGTCACATATCTGAGGATTCAGTACAAACCAAACTCTGGCTGCCATCTGCTGGCTGTCTCTTACGTCCAACATGTAATCTCAACTTTGCTTTTACATGAAAAAAATAACTTCTCATAGCCTAAATCACAAAATAAATTATAAATACTTTAAGATATTTAATATACATTTATCAAAATATGGATATAATTAGTTTCACTCCTATTTCTGCTGCTGTGTTTAGGATTAGAGCAAAATTATGTTTTTCTTATGTAGTCTAGCGGTAGCCGTGGTGACGTGCTTCATGGGTGGGGGGGACAAATCATGTGTTTGTGGAGTGGAGTTGCCGAGGTATCCTCTCCTGGTTGTGTTTGCGGAAAAAGGCTTTTCCAAACTCATATGAGCTGATCATGATGGCGCAGGCTGGAGCCACTTTGATCAGCCTGGGGAAGAAACCTGACGGAGAGAAAACACTCATCAAGAGCTCACACACACACACATATATTATGCTGCTCGTTTAGACAGACTGATGACAGATACACATTAGATAAGTACACACCTGCAAACAGCCCACGAAAGCCATCTTGTGCAACAATCTTCTTCATGATGCTGAAAGTGGAGGAGGAAACCGGACCTGACACTGAGGGAACAGGAAGCAACCAGCTTCAGTGCCAGTGAGAGGTTTATATTCAGTCATCGTGTTAAAGGGGCAGCACTGTGTGCCATTTTAAAGCACAATCCAGTAACTATGTTACGTTCAGTTGTTATAAAATACTATATATATATCTTATTGACTTTGCAACTGAACACCTTGAAATTGAGCTTCCGACTGCTCCTGCTTTTTCTGACACTGTGCCTTCAGTACGTCATCACAACGTTTCCCCATTAATCCTTTAACTATGTTTTTAACAATGTTACTCTGAGAAGTAGCTCCTATAATGAACTGAGTAAATGCATAGTTACGCCAGCTGTTTGCTAATTGCTGCTGCTGCTGCTAGTCTGAAGGAACGGAGTAGGGGAGTGGCGAGGGAGGGTTGCTCTGTGAGGCGGACGCATGAAAACTGCAGCTCTGAGAGAGGAGCTTCGAGAGAGCAAGTGGTCAGGCAAACATGCAGTAAAGCAGGGGTCCTCAAACTACGGCCCGCGGGCCGGATCCGGCCCGCCTCCTCATTTGGTCCGGCCCCCTGAACAATACTGGATCCGTCCCGCCTCCTCATTTGGTCCGGCCCCCTGAACAATACCAGAGAGCATTCAGTGTTTTTTTTCATATATATGTGGATTTTTCTTCAACCACCCCCCCTGGTGGTTGAAGAAAAATCATATCTGCTCAAGAGGGCTCTTGAGCAGATATGAAACTTAGTTTCCCTCAATGGAATATATACTAGTCAGTACCAGTCACCGTTTCGCTCACGGTTTTTTTCCATTTGCATTCTGGGTAAAAATCTATCTACAAACGCGAATATGTGGTCGGCAGTAATCCAATGCCCCCCTCCCCCCGGTCCACAGTTTCACTCTCCTCCCCCCACCCCCCCGGTCAACAAAACTTTTCTTCTAAGGTTTCGTTCTCGAAAAACTAAGACCGGCCCCCGACCAGAAAAAGGAACAGTCATGTGGCCCTTGCAGGAAAAAGTTTGGGGACCCCTGCAGTAAAGAATCAAAACAACACTCCAGGCAAGTTTTTGGTATAAAGCTCAAAATAGTTGATCTTACATGCTGCTGCCCCTTTAATTTCAGATTTTAAGAAGTTCTTCTTCAACTTGAATTCAATGTAATATGTCCTTATAGACAATCTACTATGTTTTTCCTTTTCAAAAAAAAAAAAAAGCAAAAATTCCTCTTTCCTTAAGCTGATGTGGTTTACAAACAAAGCGAATGACTTAAATTCGCTACGATTTTGTCTTTTTGTTGTAGGTATCGTTGAATCAGATAGTAAACGGCCCACCACCGGAGGACCAGTTTATCAGTTTGCATTGACTACAAGACAGAGGACGGTTTAAAGAAGATGAATGCATCACTCAATGAGAAAGTCACACAACGAGGCTCATTTTCATCCCAACCTAATCGGGCTTTGACTTTTGACCCCAACAACCGCCACATGTTGATGACCTGCCCTCTAAGTGACAAAGAATGCCAGTCATCTGCCTCTCATGTGACACTTTAAAATGTGTATAAGCTGGTTAGAGCACATGGAACTCCCCCACATCTTTAATCTAATCCCTGACCACACTAAAAGCATTAACGATGTTTGCAGACATCATGTAATTAATCAATAAATAGTGTCATCATTACAGTTTTTAGCTTGCAGCTCCCCAAGCTCGACCTGCCGTCTTGTTTTGACCACGTCGAAGGGTAAGGTGACGATAGCCGCAATCTGAAAAACAAACACAAATTAGTAGGCCAATCAATCAACCAACTTAAACTGAGCTCAATAATTTCCATTTGCATGGTTTATCTCTTTTCTTTCCTCTCTTTATATCAAAAACTGGATGATAAAAGTCAAAGATTTCATAATTCATTTTATTTGTTGTATCTATTGTGTGTTTTTTTCTTTTATTTGGGTATTTAAACTGTTTTCCAGTCGCGGTGCTAAATGTTCATTAGAATTTAAAGCTTATCTTTGAGAAAGTGTGCATTATTATGTCATTACCATCATTTTACTTGAAAATGGTCTCAAAACAACAATATTTAGTCTTTTTCCACTCTGTTGTGTGTTTTTCCATGTGAGGAAGGGGTGGGTGAATGTTTTTAATTTGTGGGTTTGTTTTATTAATCTGCACAGAACTTTGAGCTGATTTTAGTATGAAGGGTGGTTGATAAATAAACCTGATTATCGTCTGTCGCAATAACTTCTGGCACAATTTATCGTCCAGCAACAATCTGTTATTGTGACAGACATAAAAAAATTTTACAAATAATTTAGTTAAAACAATAAGCCATCCAATTCTGCATCCAAGATGGCGGATCCCGAAGGAGGAGTGGAGGCACTTACAGACCCGGACCCGGCTCCAGATATGAAGGTGATGGTGAGCGTGGGTTCTGTGGCGTTATACCACTGGCACAGCCAGCTCTTGCCCCGCTCGTAGTTGTACCAGTACATGGCGGAGAAGGGCACGTCTCGGAGCAGGGTGGGCCCCAAACCCCTCCACAGAGACCACCAGCCTTCTGCCTGCACTGCAGAGCGGATGAGGCTGGTCAGCTCGCTGTAAGACTGTTTCTGGGACTGCAGCTTGGTGCGGATCAGCTCCAGGGGGCTGATCACGGTCGCTGAACCCACTGAAACAAAGAGCAGTCGAAACTGGAGTCACAGGGAAAGAACCGGAGTAACAATGGTGTCAGAAACGAAGCTTGCTCCAAGAAACATTTTGGTTAAAAAGAGATCAGGTTTATCATGATTTAATTACAAACAGTTCTTTGATTCTGCTTGTAATCTGCTACAGGCATTATTAAACTGAGAGACAGCAGATCAGGGCAGAGAGACCTCTCACTTTCTCGTAATGAAATCAGTGTGGGATCAGATTCATCAAGCTGGTGTTTAAAGGGCAAAACTTTCCCCTCAGACACTATTCAGGAAATTAATTTTCAACCATTAATAAAATCGCTAATTAATTCAGCTGAAACTAGGACCTCCATCAGATTAAGATAAGAAAAATAATGCTCTTCCTTGAGCAGAGTAAAATGAATAGCAGCAGAGTTTCACCTCTAGCGATGGCTCCTGCTAACAGCGGAGCCTCCTGGGCTCGCTCTCCCATCCTCGCCCTCAGCGCGGCACACAGCTGGTCGTAACACGTGAAGTAGATCACTGTGGCTGGGACCGCCATCACACTGGAACCACAGGGAAACACGGGGATCAAAATCCACACCCGTCAAAATTATTCCACTGAATTCTTTATTAAAGAAAAGTATCTCACAACACTTAATATGAACGTAAATTTGTAGTAGGTATGACCCATTTTTACAAATACTGGTTGAGTTCCACTAAATATTAATGGCATTTTTATTAAATGTAAAATAAATGAACACTGATTGACCAACATTGTTCAATGACTGACATTAAGGGTTTAGACTATTTATATATGAATACTGCAAATAATAGTGTCGAGCAGAAATGAAGAAAAAAAATATCAGAAGGAAACATAGATGGATGGAGAACCAAATAAAAGTATGGAAAAACATGATGGATGGAAGGACAAACAGAAGAATGAAAAAATGAATCAACATATCGGTGGAAAAGCAAATCAATACAGGACAGCTCTATAAACAGGTGGATGGATAAAATATATGATGGATGGATGCAACTGTTATATACGAAAGAAAGGAAACTAAAATTTTCTAATTATTCCATATTCTGCTTACTTTTTCCATACATTTCAAGACCTGAAAAAGACTTCCATTTTACACTTGTTCAGACTTTGCACAGAATCCCTGTGTCAAAATGTAACACAGAGGAAACTTTATACTCACAGTGTTGGAGGCAGGCCGCTCCATAAGGCTGTGATTCCCTCACAGCACACTATCTTATAGAAGGCGTCCTGCAGAGAAGCAGAGTGGGAGGTTTAAACCCATTAGGGACTTTTTTTTTTGTTTTGTTTTTTTAACCATTTACACACAAGAAACAGGACATTTACCAAAAACGTAGAGCAAACATGTAGCTCTAAACACTGACACTATTTACTGCAACCAGTGAGTGTGTGAAACCTTACGAAGGTGCCTCTGAATTGGCCGGCGGCTTTGTACCAGCCCTTTCCATTTTCACACACACATATGTGGTCCATGAGTCCATTGCTGTAGACAAAATATCTGCCTGTAAAATTATATTAAACGTTTAGAATTTTAGCAAGTATGGTAGAAAATGCAATATTAACCAAATGTGAGACAAATTGAAAATATTTTTCATAAATTGTACCTTTGCCTAAGGGATTGTTCTGAGCTTGCAGTCTGGTTTTTACAACATCTAAAGGTGTGACTAAAAAAAAGAATAAGGAGAAGATCAGGATTTACAGTTTTACCATAAACAGGTTTTACTAAATCTGATGTATCTCCATGGTAAATCTATAAAACAATTTTTTTTACATTAAAAATGATCTGTAAGCATAATATTTTGCAATCTGATTCCTTTAAAATGCCATCATATTTTAGCTATTTATTAATGTCAATTTTGGTAGAAATCAACAGTAGTTTTTATTAATAAAACCTCAGATGGACAGTATGACATTATGTTAAGGTATGTTTCATAAATACCAAGATAAAACACAGCAATAGTGTTCATGGTCAACTAAGTCGTACCTTACAGCTTCCAGAGGATTTAAGAGGATGAGCAGCAGTCAAGTGCTGCTTATCCGATCACACTGATTAACTAATCATTAGCAGGTGTGAGCTCCTCCGTGAAAGCAGAAGTTTTAGAAGTTTGATGGTAGGGATCATTAAGGTGAGTTTAGGGATTACAGGTTGATGGCTTCACTCTAATTTTAGGACTTGGCAAGGCACAGACATTAGATCCAGTCCATTTTCATGTCAACGATAGCATATTGTCCAGTGTGTTCTCGAAATAAAGAAAGTCAACAGAAGGAGGCCCAGTACAGTATTTGATGGCTTTTATAAAAAGGAAATAAAGAACTGATGTTGACCTTATAAGATGTATAATTCTTCTGGTCATCATCTAAAGGCATTTTTCTGAATCACCTTGATAATATCAGTATATAGTATAAATCATTCATATCAACCGAGTTGATACGCCGGCATTTTCTATCCCAAGTCAAATCTGGTGTCCATAAAATAAAATAATTTTTAATTTTAACTTTAAAACTATTTTATTATTTTAAGAGACTACAAGTAGAACAATATTTTGCATCATGGAAGAATTTTAGTGATGAAAATATCATTCAACATTAACACTTCTGGTCTGACTATTATCTGAGTATTACAAGATAATGACCCATTTTACTCCAACCACACACACAAAAATCCAGAATATTTGTTTAAAGTTCTACAGTAATGTTTTAAGATATAAACTACCCCATTGCTATGATGAATATTCTGGTTTAATACAATGTTTAACATAACAGAGGGCTCATAAATCAGCCCAGAATTTGATATTTTGCAATGCTCTTTATAATGGTGCAGATTAGTAAATTTAAATAAGTACAAGTGAATTCAATTGAAAGGGTAAAACTCACCTATGATATGGAGTAAATAAACTTAGATTATAAGCATTTCCCTTAATTTTAATGATTATATCTTAAAGCCACTGAAGATCCAAAATTCAGTTTCTCTATAAATGCGATATTACACATCACAAACGAAAATAGGATTTCAATACAGAAATGTTGGCTTACTGAGAAATATGGCTTGTACCATAAACTACACTACTCAATAAGTGGGATACCTTCTGGATGAATTGCTGAACCGATGGAGGTGATCAGCTTGTTATATCATCATGAATCATTATGTAAATTAGTCTCCTAATATTTACTTTGTTAAACTAGCTGCAATGACTCATAAAATATAAATAATCAATCACCTAAATTGAGAGGTAAACGGTTGAAATTAATTATTTTTGCTTAATTTATTGAGACGCGCCTCTAAATAACTGATCTATATAGATAATTATGCGTTACGAAACACGAACAGGTGTAAGTAGCTGGCTCTAGTTTACAGAAGAATTGGGATGATTATAGCTCTTGAGTTTAATGTTATGATTTCTCACCGAGCAGAGATGTAAGTAGGGCTCCAGAACAGGAAGAAATCATCTGCTGGGCTGGAGTAATGCCATTGACGGCAGTAGAAGCCGGAGTTTGACCATTCATTTCGTCTTTAGAGAAAAAAAAACAGATAAACAATTTTACATAATACGTATTCCTGTAGATCAAATATCTAAAATGTCCGCCATGGCTTGCTGTAAGAAATGCAGTAATTCGCGACTTAGTTACGCGACTCATATTATGACATAATTATATGTCAGACGTTAATGTTACTGCAGCAAGACGAGGTCTGTGGCTAACCGTGCTTAGCCTATTAGCTCAATTAACCACTTACCTGTTAAAATACAAGAGCACCACTGACGTATTCTATGAAATCAATCATCGTGGTACCTTTCAGGATTTTTAATTCCCAAAAACAAGGGAGTAACTTCTGTCCTAAAGGCTGTAATAAGGCATAGCTGAAACACGTGTGTACTTTCAGGGGGTCATAACTCAACTAGCATGTCTGTTTACACCGCAAACGTTACAAGATGACATAACGAAGCGGTCCAGTTCAGCACATTCTATAATTTTCTTATTTATTATTTGTCAAGTTTTTAAAAATAGTAAAAATAACAAATAGAATTCAATTCAAAACTAAAACAAATTTTGATTTCACAGTTATTGAAATTTCAGGGCTTTAATTTTTATGTTATGTATCTGTAAGGAAACGTCCATTTCAAGCATCAGGAGTGAGTTTACCTAAACTCCGGGTTGCCAAATATGAAGAGTTTCTGTTAGCGGATACCGCAAGAAATTAAATTTTGAATGAGGAAGACAGTCAAATGCTCCGGTAAACAACTTATTCAAGACTTATTAAAGGCATTAAGAATGCTAGCTAATGAAATTTGAGCGTTTTCTTTTCGCCGTGCTGTTGTAACGGGTTAGAATATTTACACATTTTGAGACCGGAAAAGCCAGACCTGGCAACCTGAACTCGACATACTGGATTTAAAAAGCGGGAACTGACCGTTAGAAGAAACGCTGAGACAAAGTTTAAAACTGAATGTTTTGATGCTTTAATACGACTATTACGCAAACATTCTTCATTTAACAAAAAACTGAAAGTCAAGTAAGTTCAACTTTTAGGCTTGATAAAATATGACATAGTAGACATTGTAAACTTCCTGTACACCATCCAACGAGTTTGGACATAATTTTCGATTTACTCATCTTAATGTGATTTAAATGGTAAGCACGCCGTTTTCACTGTGGCGAAGCTACATCTGTGACTATTTTTATTTATTTTTCTGGTTCTTTGTCTGAATAACTTTTCGTTTGTTTGTGAACAGTGAGCTGACGAGGACTTTATGGCGTAAAAGGAGAAGGTTTATGTCGTGTTCTCAGTCAGTGAGAAAAATATGAAACCAAAACACAGTCAAACTCATCATCGTCGGAATCCTGGATCCAACTTACAAGGTACAGATGTCGCTATTTCTAGACTTTGTAATATATGTCATATTTTATACACTTTATATCCAATTGATAATTTACACAAAATGCACTCTTTAGATCATTAACTGGTTACTTTTAGGGAGTTTAAACGGGAATAAAAATCCGCATTCACATCATTAAAAATGTAGGAGTTTAAGAGCAAACTTTTTTTGAGCTTGAGTTGACAAAATAGCAGCTGTAAATATATCTCTGTGCTTTAAATGTTTAATTTTCTGTTTGTGGAAACTGTCACCACCTCTGAACCTTTTAACAGTTTTAACTTCAATGTTTCAGGAAAAAATGTAAATGCTGGTGAGAAGACATCAGTGAGCAAGGCGAAGCAAACATCCAAAGTGTCGTCTTCATCACAAGTCAAACCTTTTGCTGGAAAAGTGTTTTACCTGGATCTACAATCCAACAGAACAGCAGAAACCTTGGAGAGCGACATCAAACAATTGGGCGGGGTAATAAAGGCCTCTCATTCTCATTTATTTTTTTTATATATTGCAAAGATCTGGTAGTTTCTTAAGCCAAATTTGTCTATGTAAATCCTGTTGGTCTTGATCATCAAATTTCTCTCTGTCCACAGCAACAATGTACTGAATTTTGCAGAGATTATGTTTTTTTTTTTTTTTTTTTTTTAAAACCTTAAATATTCATTTCTTTAGATTTTAATTTTCATTTATAAACCACAGAATCATCATGATATAAACACTCACTGCTTTGGATATCAAGGTTATGCTGCTATGGTAATTTAGTAGATTATAAATTATACAATGAGCTAGGTCTGCCATCTTGGATGAAGTTGTAGAGCCTGTGACTTGGTCAATCTGCTGCACAGAAAACTAAACCAGACTTTGTTGAATCGCTATTGGAATACTGCTATTGGAATCAGGTTCTTGATGCTTTTTGGTTCTAATACATATAAACAAATATTGTATTTAACAATTTTAGAATATTTTTCAGGTGTTTCTTTTTGCTGTGACTGTAAAAGCCATTAAGTTTGTAAATATTCATACTCCCCCCCCTCTCTTTATTGCCTATAAACTTACAATTTATATTCTCAGACATTCATAAAAATCTTGCTCTAAAAATAAAACTTGCTTTAATAACTAAGCTACTTTACAGCCTTAATTGTAGAAAGTAGTACAATTGGACAGATCCATACTGTATGCAATAAATTAATATATCGGACATCCTGAATAAAATCCTGCTGGACTTCTCAAGTGTTGATTGCTGGGTAGTTATACAAGGATTTACAATATTCACATTTAATTTTTAATTTTTGATGTTTAACCAAATGTAGATCTTTGTGTCTAGTTTTGACTTCTAAGCACCGACAGTGCAGCTTTTTCCCTCAACTTCATGTGGTATAGGGAACCTATTATGTTAAAAAAAAAAAGAAAAAAAAGAAAACAAGCCAACTTGTTTTCACAGTTGTCTAAAAGTTTTATTGTATCTTTCTCTGTTCTGTGAATTTAGATCGTTGAGAAGTTCTTCAGTAAGGAAATCAAGTATCTGGTTTCCAACAAGCGGGAAGCGAAGCATGTGCACTGCCTCAGACAGGACTCTCCTGTCCCCAGTCCCGACTCTGGACAGAGTTCCCCACAGCCCCACTCAAACCCTCACTGTCCTCCGAACCGTATGGACAAAACCAAGTCTCAGGGTCAAGTGGATTCAGTGAGTCTGAACTGGCGTTTTATCATCCCTGGCACAAGTTTAATATTTTTGGACACGATTTGTTATTAAATGCATTTGTTTCGCAGTTGATCAAGAGCAGAGGGAAGTCTCTGGTGGAAAGAGTAGTGACAGGACAGGTTGGTTAGAGATATTTAGCTTTTTTTATTTAGATGTTTTATCCACCCTTCTCTGTTCTGTGCTGACATGTTTTTTTTGTTGTTTTTTTAGGGGAGGCTGCAGATGGACAGAATCCTGTCAAATGCACTAGAATGGGGTGTCAAGATCCTTTACTTAGATGGTAGGTTGATTAATTAATACAGTGTCTAATTATATATGGTTATTTTTACTTTATCTTGAATTATTTTTATGTCCTCTGTAGATGTTTTGGCTTATGTTCAGAAGAAAAAGAAAATTTTTGGGAGCCCAGTTTCAGCAGCTGCTCCGGTGAAATCACATGTACGTTTTAAAATAATTTACCTGTTTTGTTGTTATAAATTCAAGTACTTCACAATGTTTATCATTGCTCTTTAATTTCATAGGTGAAAAATGAATCTTCAACTAAGTTGGGTTTTCAGAAATATAAAGGTAAATGCCGTCTCCAGTTTTAACCGTCTTTAATTTTAATATATGAATATTAGATGCCCATCAGTGCTTGAATTCTCAAGAGTTGTGATGTAATTTGCAGCAGGAAGGATCACCAAACCTTTTATTAAGATTGAGGATTCAAGCAGGTAAAAAAAGGAGTATAGCAACACATTCGCGCTCTTAAAACGTGGCAACAAATAAACGGTATGTCCTCTTTAATCAGACACTACCGTCCAATCTACCTCACAATGCCAAACCTGCCGGAGTTCAGCCTGAAGACAGCAGCTCCTTACAGTCCCTTCTGTGTCGAGGAGAAAAATCCTTCTGGACTCAAACAACATGGACACAGGTAATGTTACTCTGTGCTTCAGCACAAAATTACTTTGTGTATGAGCTGTCCTGATCTGCATAAAACATAAAACTGAGTTAAACCTCAGCTAAAGAGAATGGTCCCTTAAGATTATTTTTGAAGTGGAGTGAATCTTGCGATTTGAGGCCATTTTTTATGCTAATGACCTTTTTTTCCCCCAGTGACTATATGCAGTGAAAATGCTGCAGTAGGTTAAATGTATATTACACCATTGAGAATAGGCCAAGACTTAGGTTTTCTCCGTTTCGACCCAACTTGTTAATAATGTGCCGCCTTAGTTTGTGTTCATATTTAAGATCAACTTTTTTGAGTTTTATGTCGTGTTATAAAGTTATTCCTTATCAAAAACATACCTGGACTGTTTGTTTCATGCATGATTGAGAAATCCTTTCATATCCCATGGCAACAGTTCAGCTGTGTAAAACGCCTGGGATGGGAACTACTGCAGCCTTTGAGGTGCAGCTCTTCCTTGGACCCACAGTTTCCAAGCTCACAGAGCACCCGTCCCTGTGACTGCACCACTCAGCTCCTTCAGACTAGCCCACAGTAATTAGCAAACACCTGGTGGAACTGCTCATTTGCTAAGCTAATTCTCAGTGTAATGCTGGTTAAAAATGTTGTTAAATGTTAATAAAAGAATGATGTTGTGACTTTTTGAAACTTAAGAAAGAGCAGGAGTTTCCTAAAGAGAGTCCCAATCTCAAGGCATTAAATTATAACATTTTTATAAGATCTGAAGGTAACATAATTACTTGATTGTGTTATAAAATGACATAATGTGCCTGAAAAATGGATAATACTTTAATGTTTTGTAAAGTCTGGCTGCAGTAAATGCTTATGCTTCACACATATCAGTGTCAAAGGTCAAAATGAAAAATGTTGATTGATAACTGATGTCTTCATTTTAATTCTTATTAATGTTGCAGATCACACGGAGTGTTTTGTTCTTTTTTGTCATGCACTCCTAATGTGAATCTCCAGCAGAGTTTGGCGTCAACATCTCCTTATATTTAACCGTCTTACAGAGGAGTGAAAGCCTTAGGCGCTGAGGAGAAAGGTCAAGGCCGAAAGAAGAATCGAGAGAAGAAGCGAGGCGGTTACTGCGAGTGCTGCCTGGTCAAATATGACCAACTCAAGATGGTATGTTGACAATAAATATGTTCAGTTAGGTTGTGAAATACAGGAACAGCCTTTATGCAGAGTCTTAAAAGCAACGGTGGAACAAAAACGACAATCACATCCAGGCAATTGCCATTCCTGCATCATTTGCAGGATGCATTAGTAGCAAAAAAATCTAACATCAACATGTGAAAAGCTCAGACCTTCCAGCTTGACTTGGTATCAATACATTGCAGGGCTAATCTGATGGTTTCGTTTTTCATTAACCAATTAATAATTGGATGTTTGTTTGTTTTTTTTTTGATTTTGTTATTTTGCAGAATTTGAAGCAGGTGAACCTAAAACTTTGCCAGTGGAGAAGTTTTGTGTAGAAGAAGCTTATACATGTTTTTAAAAATCTTTAATGCAATATGTTTATATTTTTTTGGTTTAATTACTTACTCTGAATATGTTCATTCAGCAAATGGCCTTTTTGTGAGTCAGTTAATGATTAATTGATTACTAAATTAGTTCACAATTATAATGAATATCAAGTAATTTAATTAATCATTTCAGCTCTATTTTGAAGTTTCTATGTTGATGTATCCATAGAAACTTGCTGATGACCGCCAATGATGTCAATATTTAATGTTACTTTGCTCAGTAAATTATTAGTTCAGTTTATCTAGAATCGGGCTTAGATGTTTTGATGGCTGTAATCATCATCAATAATTTAACTGAATGATTTTTTTTTTTTTATTATTTATTTTTAAAATGTTTTTATTTTTATTTTAGCATCTGCAGAGTGAACGTCACAAGGCTTTCTCCAGGAGTGACGAATATTTGATTGTGGACCAGCAGGTTTCGACTTTGCACTTTAATTTCCTTCCCATCAAAACTAAAGACATGAGGTAATTTCTGTTCCCGTGGAATCGCCACACAAATAAGAATCAGATCACTTCTTATTTCTTCTGCTTATGTCACTGTTAATTTCAAAATTTGCTGTTTTCGTCTAGACGAAAGTGCAGCGTTTCTTCTGTTCTGGTGGCTCCTGGACCATGTGGAGAAGCAGGCCAAAATCTCCAAGGAGACGCGAGTCGTTCGGACACCGTTAAGGCAGAGGAGGACTGGATCGTTGATGCATCTGATGAATCGAATTCGGAACATTTCTGCACAAAAGGAGGTCAAAAGAACTGCTACACTTACTCGGACAAGTCCAAGCACAGGTTCCTTGCATCCAAGCGGACAATCAGGCAAAACTCTTCAACTCAGAAATCTGAGCAGATCATGATTCCTCCGGCTAAATCAAAAAATCCTCACTCTGACGGAGCATTTCTCACCACATTTCCCTCCAGAGACAAAATCTCTCACAAAGACACAAACAGCTCAGTTTCTTACCTACAAGGTACAAACCTGCAGAGTGAAGCATCGGCGAGCAACTTCAGTGTTGTGACGCACGGAGCCGAAGATACGAACAAGGACGCCGCTCTGTCTGAGGCAAAAACATTCTCAAAAACTGAAAACAGTCTTTCTGAAAAGGAGGAAGAAAACCCTAATTTGCCAATCTTCTGTACGGTGCAAAAAATTCAGAGGAAGATCAAAGCTTATAAACACAAGAGGCGGAAAGTGGATCCGAGTGGCCAGCCTGCAGAACCTGAGAACTCGCTACTGAAGCTTTGGGAGATTTTCAAGTCGAGCGATAACATGGATATGGAGTTTCTTGGTTTTTCAGATTAGATAAAGTCAAAAAATAGAAGAGGAAAACTTTTTATTTTTTGAGCCATGAACTAGAACCATTATTTGTAACTCATTCAGATAAAATGCATGGTTTACAAACTGATTTCATTCCCTAAAAAAAGTTAAATATTATTTTAATGCAAAGATTATATAAAAAAAAAAGCCTGCAAAATCTACAATTTTACATTATGCATCTGTTTAGACTTAATTTTATTGGAGTTTTGAGAAAATGGTCTTGGGTTTGATCTCACGTTTATGTCTGAATGGGTTAAAAACCACTTCAGTTTTCTATTTAATAAAATATTGGTTTTTCAATTCTCTTTTTGGGTGAACATCAGCTCCTGGGTAAACTTCTGTTTTTGTACAGCCACAAGGGAAGTTGGAAACCTCACAAGATGAATGTTAGTCTGTGGCTATGAAATGTATTTTGGAAACTTTGTACGGTTTTAATTTGTAAATTAGTGTTATTTATTTCACATTTTGATAATAAATCTAACGTTCTATTAAACTGAACTGAAAATTAAAGAATGTTTTTAAAATATCACCCCAAAGCGTCAATTGGACATTTATCAATACTGTTTCCTATTAATACTGTGACTTTGTATTTGTTGTTCCAGGTATATATTTAGTGACTAAGATTATTGCCGAGTTGGACGAAATCAATTACTACTAAGCCATATTTTCTATTTTTTGTAGCCATCTCCCCACTGCTATTTACAAGCTTTAGCATTGTAGCCAGTAAATATCAGTTACCTCCAGTGAAAGTCCATCTGGCAGGCTAAATGTGCACAGTTTCCTTCACTTCCTCCTCTGCCATTGCTAAAACTGCAGTCAGACTACAATTCAAAAACATTGGCTATATTAAATTTACCAGAGAAATCCACTGCAATTGGAGAATCGAGAATATGAAAGCAATGACCAGGCTGCTGAAATATAGTTCTACCTGGCAGAGGAATACTTACAGATAGAGATGCAATTCTGATCGACATATTTAGTTCATATATAACATGACTGAGGATTAGTTTTGTTACATTATTTTATTTAAAGCAATTTTACAGATTAACTGACATCTTAACTCTTTTCCAGCTGTTTTCTCCATAATTTCCTTCTTGTTATGTCAGCCAAATAGGATAATACTGTCATAGTTTGTATTCTAGAAGCAGTAAAATGCAGATAATCACAAGAGAAAAGCTAAAAAATATTCTAAGAGAAATAAATTCAAATGTTCAGAACACAAGAATAAACTAAGGACTAAACACTAAAGAATTAACGGATATGGCAAAACCCATGGAACAAAACTAAAACAAGATGAGAAACATTTAGATCGACAAATCTGAAGCCACACTTACTTTCTCACACTGTTACACTATTTTATATTAAAAAGATGCAGAGTGCCTAAAACATCCATTTTACAACTTTTACATATGATGTCTTTGATCCCTTTCTTTATTATTACTACTTTGGTTATATTTGGCAAATCCTGCCCTGCAGTATTTTTTTTAAACTATTGTAATCACATGTTTCACTGTAAACTCCTGCACTGGCAACGCCTACAAAGAAAGGCGTGCCATCCACCAGACAGAGTGAGACTATTTTCATTTACAAGCTGCAGGTCCAACATGAAGCACTCTGCTCTACTTGTCTTCATTCTCAACTCCTATTTTGTCTTCTCTCAAAGTAAGAACCATTTAGTGTTTTTGTTCGACTAAACAATAAATGTTTGCTTTAAATGTTATTAAAAGTACAAGACTTGGTTAGAAATGCACCAGCTTTATTTAAACAAGGGAAATAAACTGAACCAAAATTAGGAAATGTAAATATTTTTAACTGTAAATATTTTTCACTTGAACAAATGAACAAGTGTTTAATTCCACTGTTTTGTTTTTCAGTTCCCCATGAAATAACCTATTTTGTGGGCTGCTTTGTGAATGGCACCATTGGCATACAGTCTGAGTTTGATGGTGAAGAAATTTTATACATTGATATCCAAAAGAAGGAGATTGTGTTCACTGTGCCACCCTTTATCGATACTGATCCGCAACAGATTTTGGGTGGATTGAATATCCTTAAAGATGTTGTAAATAACCAAAAAATGTGTCAAATCTTAGCAGAATCTGTTATTACTGAAATGAAGCCCGTGTCTGAAGAAAAAGGTAAATAAATCTCAACAGTGGTTTTCTCTTTTGCCATAGCTGATAAAATGCTGATGAAACTTTTCTTATCTTTTGACGTTCTTCAGACCCTCCAGACAGCATGATCTTCCCCTCTAGAGAGGTAGAACCTGGTGTAGAAAACAGCCTCATCTGCTTTGTGAATAATTTCTATCCACCCTCCATCAAAGTCAGCTGGACTAAAAATGGCGTCCCAGTTAGGAGGGGAGTGTCTGTCGGTGACTACTCTCCTAATAACGATCAAACCTTCCGCCAGTTCTCAACTTTGACCTTCACACCGAGTGAGGGGGACATTTACTCCTGCACTGTGGAGCATCCTGCCCTGGAGACGCCGAAGACAAGAATCTGGGGTAAATGCTTTATTTCTTTCATGCGATATGATGAAAACACAATGTAAATATTTCAATATGGCAAAGCTGAGCTACAATATTTCAATTTTTCTTTTACAGAAGTTGAATTTTACAACACAGATCCAAGTCTTGGTCCAGACATTTACTGTGGAGTGGGTTTGGGTCTGGGAGTGATTGGGATCACTGTGGGAGTGTTTTTTATTGTCAAGGGACAACAAGCGAACTGATTTATCTGATGTTAAACATGATTAATATGGACGGTGGAGTAAAAAAAAAATATTTGCATCAAAATATTTTGCACTCTACATTTTGTCACCTTTAAACTATGTTTTTCTTGAACCCATTGTATTTTTCTATGGTAAAGACTGCATGTTTGTTGTGCTCTGGGAAACATTTGAGTGGTTTTTCATCACTGGAACAGAGATGGATGTCCTAGCAAAATTATCTAGAGCACATTGTATATTTTTATTGTGATTTTTATTTTCTTGCTCATAAATAAACATAAATCTTAAAGTATTCTAAAGGAACTATGTCCGACTTTTGTTGTTCATTATAGATCTAAGACATGAAATGATAAAACCATCCATGATTTGTTCTGAAATATTTAAGCCATTTTATTCCAGAAAGAGGGGATACAAAATTTTGACATGCATGCCGACACCTGATGATATATTTAGTTTTAAGATTTTAAAAGAAAGACATAAAATTTCTAAAAAATTGATTTTCTAATTAGTATAATTCTCAGCAAAAAGAACCAGGCAGGAGTCAATTTCTTCAGATTGGGACTTGATGTGTTTAATTCTGATATGTAAAACTGAACATTGTGATTTGATGATCATCAATAGTCATTTGAAAACAAGTACTTTTGGTTTTACTCAGATTATCTTCACCTGATGAAAAAATGTGTTTGATATGAAATATTGTGTGACAAAAAGTCAAACCCTAAAGAAATCTGTAAGAGCAAATAACTTGATTTGAAACTAAACTCAAAAATGTAGCAATGTGAGTGAATTTAATGAGTGACTAAGCCAATGATAAACTACCACCTGTTCTGCACACTATCGCAAAATAATTTATTGTGCAACTACTTTTTGAAAGGCAGTACCTAGTGTGCAGGTAAAAGACTAATACAGCTGAAACCAGAAGTTTACATACACTATATAAAATGACAATTTCTTTCTTGTACTTTTAGCAAAGAGAAAAATTTTGGTAACTGATCTAAAACTGGTTTGTTCTGATTTCAGGTCAGACAGTGTAAAAAATGTGCCTTTATGTAGACTTCTGGTTTAAACTGTAGGTGAGATGACAAAATCCTGATTTGATTAGGACAGGTACCAGTTCTGTCAGATCGTACAAAACCTGCATATGCACTTCCTCATATTTGTGAAAACATAACATTGTCAGTAAGCCGTCAGTCAGATCTCTGTTATTCAGCTGACAACATGCAGGCTACAAACTTTGTTTTCCTGGAGCTCTTACTGGTGTTTTCATCAGAAGGTACGTGACTTTAGATCAACACAATCTTTATACTAGATGCTCATCTAGTTAATCACAAATTAACTTTGGATGTTTTCTTATTTTTAGGTGCTTTTTATGGCTATTATTTAGCGCATTGTCAGTTTAACTCCCCTGGCAGCAGTGACGTTGTGTTCGTGGAACAACTGTACTTCAATAAGATCTTACTCGGTCAATATAACAGCACTTTGGGAAAAGTGGTGGCGTTCACTAAGAAAGCAGAAGAATTTGCAGATATCCTCAACAAGTTGCCAAGATTCCTAACACATGAGATGCGGCGTACAAACCATTGCAAAATAAGTGCACAGCTGGCAAATGAAAAGCTACTGACTGCAGGTAATTTTCACAAGATAGCAAATACTTTTGGACAAATATTTTTCAAAATATATTATCTAACATTAATATGCCTTCAAGTATGTTAAACTTAAAAGCGCATAACGGTGCAGTAGTGACTATTAGTCTTTGTTTTTTCTAGTGGAGCCCTACGTTTGGTTGAGGTCAGTGAAGGCAGAGTACAGTCAACATCAGCAGATGCTCGTCTGCAGCGCGTACGACTTCTATCCAAAGAAAATCAGAGTGACGTGGCTGAAAGACGGAAAGAATATCACATCTGGTGTGACATCCACTGACGAGCTGCCCAATGGGCACTGGCTTTATCAGATCCACAGCTACCTGGAGTTCACACCTAAACCTGGAGAGAAGATCGCCTGCATGGTGGAGCATACAAGCCTCAAGGAACCACAGCTTTATGACTGGGGTGAGAATGTCTGAGATAAATATTTAAATGTACACGTTGCATTCAGGAACTACATCGACTTCCACTTATATTATCTAATAACAGTATAAACACACTATCTAACTAAAAGGACAATTTACAGTCTTGGGAAATTACTGGAATTTAACTGTAAAACTACAGAAAGGGCTAAAAGAATAGAAGAATTGCAGATTTATGTTTGTCATGTGATTGTGGACAGTTTAGTGGAGTGAGATACATCTGTGGATATTTGCTTGGCCTTCCTGGGTTTTTCTGACTTCCCATTTACAGTGGCTCTTATTCTGTTTTGTTTGTCTCTTTGTTCACTCAATGTGCCATACATTGGGGTGCTAAGCTTAGTCCCAATGCTAAAAAAAGGGAGCACAATAACACAGTGATAAGATGCAGGAGCCAGAGGTTGTAATCTGTGTAAACATTTCTACATTCGCTCCACATCAGTGCTTAGCACTGTGCTAGTTGTATAGATAGTGCAGTTTATTGGACATACAATTGGTTTGTGAATAAAGCAAGGTTAACTTTTGCCAACCCATCTTGAAGTTAAAAATAGATGCAGAGTTTTAGCGACTAAAAATCGCTAAAAATTACTTTGTAAAAGTTTATATATGTGTGGATTGTTTTTATTTATTTAAATTCAAGTCAAGTCAGAACTTCAGGCAGGTGAATAATTAGCTAATCAACTGCACATAAGACCCTTTTAGTTTTATTTTATTGTATGTTTTGTATATCATATATTTTGCACCTTGGGGTAGTTGTAGTTTTTCTTTATTCTGTGTTTGTATCATGATTACGACAACCTGCTGACACTTGCTTTGTCGCAAGATTTACAACTTGCTCTTTGAAATTTGCAGCAACCTGAAAAGGTTGAGTAAATATATCTTAATACTAAGGATACAAAAGATAGTTAGGTTTTGTCCTATAAGTGAAAAAGGTTAAAAATTTTCCTAATTTTCCAGATCATCCAAACTTTTACTGCTTTAATTTTGTTTAACATGTCGTTTGTGCTGATAGTGTTTTAACCCTTTGAAGACGAGGTCTAAATGGCCATCCCGGCGTGGAGTCTCTCTTCTTCTCGGTATGAAGCCATGTAGCGATAGCTAGCAAAACTACTACTAACCCTGCACACACCACGAACTCTAACTAACACACTTATAGTCTAAAAAAACCCCATCGAAACACTCTTAGTAAAATCCACAGCATCACTGTGCCCTAGTCTCTTGCCGTATCCAAATCCCCCCCCTCGTCTCTTTCCGCGTGTCTCCATTCTACCTAGCAACAGACCATCAACACATTTTTATTGGTTGTTTCGAAATGTGGTACATTTAGACCCCACAAAATAAGGCGGAAATGATCGATCTTATTTCTGGCTTTATTTTGAAGTAAATAACCACAAAACCAATATAAAAACACCACTTTTATAAAGTTTGAAGTCCGTGCTGTCCAACAGAGTCGAAATGAAAACTCGGTATGCGTCCATGTTATTACGAAACCTTATTAATGCGTCACATGCTTGTTCGCCGCACGGCGAGCAGCGACTTCTATCAGTGCCTTGGCGACTTATGACATAAATATGGAAGAGAACTTTGTATGAATTGTATTTAGATCTAACATTGTGTTTATAATAAATTGTTGTTGATCAAATATTTGCCAGAACTGGATTCAGGAAAGAACATGCTGGTTGTTGGTTCAGCTGGGCTGCTGCTGGGTCTGTTGTTTTCAGTCACTGGGTTCCTCTTCTTCAAGAAGAAATCAATAGGTGAGACAGTGGTTCAAAGTAATAGAAATACCATTAAAACCATTGAAATATTTTATTCTAATCTTTAAAATGTGGTACATCTTTTTGATTTTCCTGCTTTTTTGACAGCAGAGCGGGTGAGAGTGCCAACAACTGAGGTATGCTTTTAAATTCACTCATTCACACACATTTATACATTTATGTAACTCAATAATTTTTTAATATATGTATTCTGCAGGAAATTCCTGAAAACAACCTTTAAGTTTAGCTGGCTCTGGATCAGTGGCTAAACATGCTGAGTTTGATTCCAGCTTCTCTCATCATGTATGAATGAACCACTGGACAATGAACCAAAGCCCTAGTTAAATCCCAATCTGCGTATTGGTGCATGTATGTCTGAGTTCAAATGAGTGAATAGGTCTTGCAGTGTGAAGATGCTTTCAGTGACTGGTGTGAACAAAAACATGTTATTTTTGCTTATTTATGAAGGGGCATCTGGAAAAGTTACTCAAACAGTTATCCTACAGTTCTCAATTCAAATTCAAAACCTTCCTAGAGAGAAATTTCTAGTTTTTCTCCCTGAGCTTTTTGTAACATTCTGGACATCCATGTCTATATGTTTGTCCTTGCAGTCCACCACAGAGACAGAAAAACTGATCATCCACGCGCACATTCACACCTAGAGATGATTTAGAGAAACCAAGTAACCTAACAGTGATATTTTGGACTGTGGGAGAAAATCAGAGCACCTGGAGATGACCCACACATGACTGGGAAGAATCTGAAAGTGCTGATGTAGAAAAGGCTCAAGCTGGGATGTGAACCCAAGACCTTCCTGTTCCTACCAAATGTGCCAACTATACAGTTTCCATTCTGGATATCTGGGAACAAATGATTGATATTGAACTCACTCTCATTATCTACCAATAAGGAAGCCAAGCAATGCTGAACTTTTTTCCCTTTTGATTGATTGTGCAATAAAAATTACTGATAGGTAAGATTTTTAAATCAATCTGTGATGTGTCAAATCATATTTAAAGGGTGTAATTTAATTAAAAATTATTGCAAAATTCACTGCATTTATCTATCACAATTATATTGTCTTTTAGAGAATGGAAAAAAGGTAAAATTTGAAAAAACAACAACAAATAAAACAGATTTATTTTATATTATAGAGTCAAAATGAAATTATAAACCTTTCCACTCCTGTGTAAAAACCCTGCTTAAAGTTTTTGTTTGAATGTAATGGAAATATGTTTCTGACTTATTTAATGTTAATCTGTATATTATGAAATAAATCAAACAATTAGCAAAGGAAGTTATGTCAAAATTCTCTTTATTTTTACCTCTGTGTGCTATTTAATTCTGTGTTAGCCCAGTTAGTAAGAATGGATCTTTTTCAACTTTCAATTATTTTTCTTTCAATTTTACCCTCTGTTTGCTGAGGTCTGTAAATACACGGTAACAAACGTCAGAATGTGTTTATCCGCATTACCTTCTACTTTGGTCTTGAGAAAACTTAAGTACATATTTCAAACATGAAGTTCATGCTAACAGATGAAGAACATGTGACAACCGATGAGACATTTGCTGAGGAATCTTCCAGAAGAAACCGGTTACACCAGACTGAATAATAAACATAATTTGACTTTACAGTCAGAGCTGGAGAAATTGGTTTTGCATGACGCATTATGTGATGTAAACAAAGACCTGACAATACAAAAATCTTTATTGAACTTCAGTTAATCCAGAGAAATGGAGGAAGATGCTTTTCCTTTTCTGGTGATGGTGTCCAGAAAATTAAGCATTGGTCACACGGGAAGAGGCTAGAGACAACCTGGGCAAATCACCAGTTTTTCACAGCAGAAAACACAAATACACACCTGTTAGAGCTTACCTCAGCCATATGATGTGTTGGTAAACTGGGAACAAAATGAGGAAACTGGAGTAGCCAGAAAGCACCAGCATAAGTAAGGAAAGCCAGATGTTTACATCCTCTACATAAGAACACACACAACTTTTATTTTGTCACTGTCTGGCATTAAATCAAACTAAAGTTTACCTGATTAGGTCAGCAAGGATAACCAACATTATTACCACTTATGAAATCATTCAGATTTAAACTAAAATAAATGTTGCAACTCAAAATTAAGCTAAGAACTCATTGACTGTTTGTCTTCAGAATAATTTAGGCAGATCCAGCGCTCCCTAGAGGCGTCACCGAGTCATAACATATATATATATATATATATATATATAGGTATTTACCATTCAACTTAAATGTCCAACTTGAAAGAAATATTCGCCTGTAAGTCTTCACGCAGGGTTTATTAGTTCTCCGCTCTGCCTGCACGTCAAGGACGTCATTATGCTCCAAAAAACAAAAACAAAACTAAAACAAAACAAAAAACAGCCGCTTTATTTCATTTTCTGTGATATAATTCCTGTGATTGGCCATTTATGTTTACATTCATTACGGAATGTAGGAAGAAAGAAGCAGCATGACTGAATCGAAGTAAAAACTCCTTGGGCATAAACTGCAAAATGACCTAAATTTCATGACCACAAGTGGATGGATTAAATCAAAAATAGTTTATTAACCCTAGAATAAAAGGGTTAATAAACTACTGCGTTTCTTCAGTCATTGTAGGCGCAGCCCCCAGAACTTTTTAAAGTTTATATAGAAATCAGCAAGATGGATCATCTTGTATTTTCAGCTGAATATCTTAACTTGTACCTGAACGAGTGGCAGTGGATATGAATAGCCTTAGTAAGTTGGATTCGGCCCAGATACCAGTGGAAAAAAAGCAACAAAAACACGTAAGACAATTAAGCTGACAATACGGGATCATAAGCAACCAAAATTAAAAAAAAAAAATAACATAACAGAAGATGAAACGTCGCAGAGATTACGTCAAAGAACAACCACTAAACAATTTGAAAAACAGAAACTGTTAAAGCAAAAAAACTGAAGGAAATAATGGCAAAGCACACAACCAGACAAATTAATGCATCATAACCAAAATTAGTGAAATCATGGCCTACAACAACAGAAGAAAAATAAATTGACATTAAATTAGACAAAACAATTACATGCTGTTTGAGTTATTTGCATTATTTATTGCAATTTGGCACTCTTCTCCCTCCATAGAAAATACAAGGTACATTGTATCTAGCAGTTGAGATGCTGGGATTTGGTGTTTCTCTGGTAAACAGGAGGTAACATCTGTGCCGGACTGTGCGGAGCTCTTGTCCCTGAAGCAAATGTGTTCCCGGAGGGCGGCGGGGGGGAGGAGCCTGACATGCTGGAGTAAAATTGCTCTCATCAGGAAGATTTTATTGGAGGCCCCTGGCATGTACTCCCTGCTCTGATGTCAAGATCATTTCACATTAGAAAAAAAATCGAATCACATAATTTGAAATACAAAAGCAAAGCTATTTTAGTGGTGAAATAAGTATTTTTTGTTGTTGTACAGACAGGCCACACCCAGTCGCCCCTTCTTTATTGCGGTGAAATCAATTATTCTGTTAAAGCCTCACGGTTATAATAATGCTCATCACATTATCTGTCATTTTCTCAATTTTCTCTGAGTGGGGGTGGGGACTTGGCGAGCTGAAGCCCTGGCAGATGATGGAGTGAGTCACGATAATAGCAGGCGGGATTGTGCAGGAATGGCTCTCCTGCATTAATTCACCGCGGAAGATCTTTCCTATCAGCTCCGTCTCCGGAAGCCCGGGGCCCGTAGTTTGTCTCCATCTCCTGCTTCCTCCGCTCATATTTATGCATTAGGCGTTTCTGCAGTGAGCCGCTGGACGTTGATGTTTTTAAGGAGGTGTCCCCACTCCTCCTTCTCCCTCTCTCTCTTTCTCTCTCTCGCTGTCTCTCTTTCTCTCTCTTTCTCTCCCTTCGCTCCGTGCCGCCGTCGATCCGCGGGGGTCTCGGTGCGCTCAGACGCGCTCTGCGTTCAGACTCGTAAGCGACCCCACCGATGGCCCACCACAAGCGGGACTGCTCCGACCAGACGATCCGCTCCGGCTGCAGCAGCCTCCCCTAGCGAAGGCAGAGCTGCGAGAGGCTCCTGTTTTGGAATACCGCATTGTTTTTAATTCCCTACCAGCGAGAGGAAGGTGATGATGCTGAGGATGCCATGGTGGATTTCCCTTTTGTGCGTCTGTGGATTGATGCACGTCGGTCACCAGAGCAGCCTTGATGCCTCCAATGGTAACCGAGACTGTTTTTTTTAAACATTATTTCTGCGTGTATAAATATATAACCCCCCCACCTCCCCATTGATATGCCTTTTAAAAACAATATTCTGGTGATTTATCACCTAAAACATTGCCCCACACCAGATTGATGGTTATCAGAGGAAATGAAACCCATCGACATTTCATTTATCGCCGCTGATTTGTGCACAGGCTGGTAATGAAGTCGGTGTTTACTCTCTGTGCAGGAGACGCCTTGTCGAGCCTGGAAGCTCTTCGCGATGCGGGCAGGTTCGTGGGGAAGGAGAACACGGTGCCTCTCCGGCTTGTGTACAGCAGCCAAAACCACAGCCAGATTACCCACGATGAGCTGAGCACCAGGGTGAAGGCCAGCCCCGACTCCACGCAGGTACACGCCGTGTGTTGTTTTCTTGTTGTCAAGGATGGATAGAGGAGTGTCTGTCTGGAAAGATGCCTGCAGGACAGTTTGTTTATATCTTGCACACTCATCTCCTCCTCTGCTTGTCGTCTGGGGGTGGAATAACAATTATTTAATAATAAATAGCAAAACACCACTGAGGCATTTAGTCACTACAGCAAGCTGCACTAATTATACAGTGTGCATGTGCTATATGGGTCTTTTTTTCCTTTAAATTTAAAAAAAAAAAAAAAAAATCAAACTGCCCTACTTACAGAAAGCCGTAGAGCCAAGGTTCTCAAACTGTGACAGAATTTTTTTTAACCTGCTGTTATACTTCTTCCTATTTTCCCAAGTATGCTTGTGGAAAATGTGTGTTGTATGGATCTAAATGTGAAGGAGATCCTGTGGAACATCAAGTCTCATCTTAAATTACACATTGCTCTTGATCCACTCCTATTCTGAATAGAGCATCTGTATTGGAATCAAAGGTGGATTTCTGAACAATGTCACACCCAATTTTTTTCCTGTTTGGGTTGCAAGTTAAAAAAAACCTTGTTAATAATTATTGTGTCGCTAACAACTATTAGCAATGCAAGATAACTATGTATTCCCCTCATTTCACTAATGGAACGTGTTTAAATGTTCACTTTTTACCAAAGACTAAATGTACCTTCGAATTACTGACATTATTAATAAGTGAATTGATGATAAATAATTTATCCTGGCTACTTTTATTACATCTTATTTGCACAGCAGCCATATTAGATGCTAAGGTCGTTGATGTTTGACAAGCTGTCACTTTTACAATCAGAATTTCATTTTCTGTTGTGTTTGTTGCTTTTTGTGCCGTCAAATTTCTGAGAACAGTAGACATAGTTAAATGTACATTTACATATTTATCAGTGTTATGCTATGACACCAAATCACTCTAAACCCAACTTCACCATGATCCAGTTGTAAGGAGAAGAACCAGTGTTTTACACTTTTAGCTCTGCTTAGCGACAAGCTAGCAGCTGTGTACAGTACAGGCTAATAATGATGCATTCCTTTACGTTTTTTGTACTTAAATACCAAAGGAACATATTCACTAACAGAGGTTGCATGTGTGTAAAAACTTTAATGAGATCCAACCAGGCGAAAGTAAAAATAAAAAAATATATTCTGGCAAATATCAAGATGTTCTAAGAATGCAGCAGCCATTTTGGATTTAAAGATCAGGGTTGGTGAGAAACCTCACTAGAAATTTCAACTTCTGGGAAACTTGGAGATGTTAACTTAAAAAACCCAAAAAGTAAATCTGAATGCATCATCATCCTTTAACCAAACAATAGATTATTTTCATAGTCTAGTCTGTTTTGTTTTGCTATATTAAAATGTCAGTATAATTTTGAAACTTTAATATTTATTGAGGCGATGCTTTTATATATATAAAAATGAGGAACTGTTGCTTTAAAATATTCACCTTAGTTTGTGAAGTTTCTTTATCACTTCAACAGATTAAATAATGTTATTAGTAAAGCTTTAGTGGTGAAAATCAATTTATGTATTGTTAAATCGCTGATAAATTATTTTCAGGTTTGCCAGCAGCTGTCTCACCCAGTCAGAGCCATTTGTAGACTTCATACACAAAGAAGAGCCAGAATAAGTTTTTTTATGTGACTATGTGTAAAAAAAACCCTACTTGCTTGAAATTACACCGAAACAATTCAATATGTTTTTATTTTATTTTATTTCAAAAACAGAAAAGGCAATGTTTATCCACCAGGGGGCTCCACAAACTCTGTTTCTAAATGTTAAAATACCCCATCACCTTTTTTTGTTGACAAAACATCAGCAAAAAAGTCTTATATTTCATTGCTTATATTGATGAAGAATAAATTGTCTGAAAACAAATAAATGCATGAATTTTCTTTCTTTTTTTTTTTTTTTACATTTTTGCATTTAGCCAGACATTGTAAGGTTAAACATTACTTCATTCAGACGTTATCAGCGACTGTCTATTATATCACACCTATTTTATAATCATGCTTATAAAATTCTGCCACATATTTCATTGTTTATTTGATTTTAGTGTGTCAACTGTGTTTTGATGGTTTTAGACTGTAGCTGGCAGCAGACAAGGGGGAGTTTATACGCCACAGCTCCTACACATAGACAGCCGGGTCATTTGTCATAAGAAATCATTTTCATATTTACATATTAAGACAAATATCTGAAGAGCAACAGATATGATTTCTCTGCTACTTTGCCTTCAGATTTTCCAATACATCAACTAGGTTGTCACCTTTTTTTCCCCCTGCATCATTAATTGATTCATTAAGATAATCCTCCAATTTTCAAAGCTCATAGCGGTATTAACTAAAACACATTCCTCTCGCGTAACTCTACCTCAGAGTTTAGAAAGAACTGTTTAGAAAATACAATTAAAGCTGACGAGGGGACTCTAAAATATCTTTGAAGTGAATCTTTCGCTGCACCGTCTTCTCTCCAGAGAGCTGACAGCTGTGATGTCACTTCCCCAAAGTTTGATCAGTTTGTTGACCATTTTTAGATGAATGGGCCTAAAAACAACTCCGTCAAGCTGCTCTTAAAACGCGTGACACGTGGCAAGTTATTTTTAGCGTCCTGTAGCCTATTTTCAGACACAAACATGGCTAAATAAGAAGTAGGTGGGGGAGGTTCAGCACAGTGATCATGTTGCGTTTTGTGTAGAGTGGAATCGTTCTGTGTGCTTTTAGCATGTCGTTCTGACAGCCTCCCTCCTTCAGGCATCAATGGCTCTTACAGTCAGACAGTCAGGAGGGGAAAGTCAGGTCGGCTGAAGCCAGGAATCGATGTAAGCCGAGTCAGAGCTGGTTTTTTAATGATTGCCTGTGCTCTGTCTAGAATGCTTCCTCTAAGCACGGTTCCTGGTACCTCCTTCTAATCCAAATCCACTCTGCCACAGTGAAGAGGTTTTGCATTAATAGTTGTACATACTTGAGTAGAAATCCCTCAGACTTCTTTATGTGCTCCTGAATGCATTGACTAGGCACTGGCATGCTCCACCAAACAATAGAGTCTGTGGTCCCTGTGGACATGACGGGGGTCCGGGTCATTCCCGGGTGAGCACAGGGGCATTTCTTTAAAAAACCCCCCCCCCCCCAAAAAAAAAACACCCCCTCCGCTTGTTACCTCGCCGTTCGATAATAGAGGAAGCCCGTGGGCCAAACTGAAGGGGGAAGGTGTTCTGCACCTATAGGAATTATATTTAGTAGTTGTCATTGACCCAATGGGTGTGCAATAAAGCCGGCACCATATGTGACCTGCAAAACCTGGAATAAATCAAACCCAGCAAATCAATCAGAGAGGAAACCGTTTATTTCTGTTTCCGTACATAGACTCTGCAACTCAAACAGCTGACTGCATGAGTTTAAATATTTCTGAGAAATAAAATCTGTCAAGCTTGTCAGGTTTTACACCTCCGCTGGGAAACGGGTTTACCAGCGTTGGCTATGTTTTTGCGATAAATGGCTATTCTGCAAACAATCAGCTCCAGGCAAAGAAAATGAACCTTGATGATTTCATGAAAGCAGATTTCTTCCTGCTGATTTGTGCTGCAAAAAAAAAAAAAGAAAGCAAGAAGCCATCCATCAATGTTGGTGGACGGCTGATCCATGTGAATGTTAATGAAGCGAAGCGTGAATGTGACTGAGGCTGCATGCAAACGGTAAATAAAATGTCCTTTCTACATCCTCAGATGGAGCACGTTATCCAAGCAACTTTTCAAGTTGACGCTTTTGGAAAAACATTCATTCTGGATGTGGAGCTGAATCAGTGAGTATGAAATGGTTAAATTAAACCTCTGGTCTGTCTCTCTGTTGATGCTTTAAACTTTCTTTTGGTTCCTGTCTTGACTGGACCAAAACTGAAGCACTTCACAGTAAAGCTGATAAAACAAGGCACCATTTCTCCTGGATTAGGGTGAAATACTAAACAGATGAAAAAAGCAAATGGATAATGCATAAAATGTGTGCCATAATAAAGTCTTAAATAGCAGCTGGGCTTTTTTTTTAGCAGCTTGAGAACAAAAGCTGTGCAGTGGTCAGCTGGTTCTGCTTTTGGTACCACGATGACTGCAGACCCACGTGTTTCTGGTTGTGAGGACTGTTTAGAGCTCTGTAACTGCAGCAGCTCTGAAACAGGGGATGGGGGACAGGGACACAGCTTTTCAGCTCCTCTCACTATCTCCTGCAGGGCACTTAGTTTGCCATATTGCAGCTGAGCACTGATGTCAGCGCATTTCCCTCCAAAGCTCTGCAAAGTGGGAAGATATTGGTTTCAATTTCCTCAAAATGTTCTGCCTCTTTTGGGCCTGTTTTACAATCCCAGAGGCAATCCTGAAATTATGATAACATGACCTAAATATGCTGAAAAAAAGATAATTACTCAACTTCTACAATGTCTCAATGTTCAATTTCTGGGTTAAAGGTTGCTTTAACTAATCCTTTCTAAAGTTCTTAAGCCCCCTGATGTTTGTCTCTTTTTCGCAATTTAAAAACTAAAAAGTGTAACATGCATTTGCATTTAGCCGCCTACGTTGCAGGATTTGGTTATAAAACCATATCCCAAGCTTTTTAACCCCCCTCAAAGAGCTGCAGAGATCCAGGGATCAGGTGGGAGTATCTGTTGGCTGAGAAACTACACACTCTGCAATTCTGGGCTTTATGAAAGAGAAGCGAAAAGAAAGTCATTGTCATAGATGGAAAACTCTCCGTGGTGGAAACACCGCATGCGCACACACGAGCTTCACAGGGAAACATGGTGGTGGTAGTATCATGCTTTGGGGATTATTTTCAGCAGGGGTTCTAGACAATAAATGAAGCTAAATGGAAGATCAGACAGAGACCCTCAACATACAGCTGGAGCTGTATGAACTCGTTTATCAAAATACAAACAAGCAACAGAACGCCTCCAACATGACTGAACTTGATCTATTTTGCTAAGAAGAATTGGAGAAAAAAAAAAGTCTCCAGGTGTGCAAGACGTGTAACGTCATAGAAAACATGATTCAAAACACCTGCAGCTGTAATAGGAGCAAATAAATAAATAAATAAATAAAAATGGCTCTACAAAATGTTGATTCAGGGAGGCTGAATATAGATACACTCCACATTTTTCTGACTTTTATTTTTCTTCCACTGTAAAGTTATTTGGTATATTTTGTTGCTCCGTCTTATAAAATCCAAACATAGTGCAGAAACGTTTGTGGCTGATAAAATGTGGAAAAGTTCAGAAGGTGTAAATGTTTTTGTGATGTACAGTAATGATGAATTTCACCTGGGCTTTGTCATTACGATGCAACAGAATCCATGTCGTGTTTCCCTCTGGAGGTTTTGTTTGAGTTTAGGACCGCTTAGATCAGACAAATAAACAAAAGTAGTTGTTGTGTGCCAAAAACTGGCTGCTCTGGTGTTTGTGTTTGCATGTCATGAATGTGTCACATGTTGGAGTGCATGTGTGATTTAGAGTTTCCCCTCATAATAGCAAGTGATTTACGGCAAAGGCTTTAGAGCGCCTGTCAGACACCGATATTGATCACAGCGGCGCTGATGGAAAAGCTCGCTCCTCATTTCCTCCTCCTCTCCTCCCCCCACGCTCATTCTCTCTCACTCCTGGATTGCTTCTACCTCCTCCACCTTTTCTCAACGCTCACAGTCAGTTTCTCCGGTCAGTTTCCTGAGTCACCGATCAAACTTCAAGCTGAAAGCCCATGAACACATGCAGCGACGCTTCCTGCTTGCTAATCACAGCGAAAATTACTCTCCTGCTGAGAGAAATCTTACATCACAAGAATTTCCAGGTCTGAAGGAAGCTGTTTCTGTAATTCCTCCCACTCCCTGAGTGACCCATCGACTAGTCACCGGTGTGGATGTGTCAAACATGCACAAAGAGTTCTGGCCAGATTAGTTGTACTTATCAAGTTAGCAATTTGTTTTTGCTGTCAATCGATTAAAAAAATGAATTGTGGTTAATAACACTGTAGCGCAGTGATTAATGATCATTAATCAATATGATTGTCTTTGTAAGCTTGAAATGTAAGTATGCATGTTTTAAGGAAATGTTTAAGAAAATGCTTTATTGTCGCAAACCAAACATATTTGGGGTTCTCAGTTTTCCACCTTTTCATATTCGGAAAGGCTTAAAAGAAGTCTTTTTATTTCAAACATTTAGAAATGTTTGCTATAAACTGCTCTTGCTTCAGTGGAAGGATAGTTCATCGTTCATGTCACTTTGGTTTTATTCAAACTCACCAGTTTGACTCTCCTCCCTCATCTTTTCACTTGTGTTTGCGACTCTGAATTATTGACCGCAGTACAAGACCATGTGGCGCGCTCCTGTGAACCATGCGACCTTTCACCAGAGAGAGGCTTTTAGGTCAAAATGCGTCAAGCAATTGATCCGCATTATGTAATTTTAATTTGATAAACTTTTTAGATTAATCACATGTGGTAATTCAACAGTTTAAAAGAATTTTATAAACATTTGGTTGCAGATTCAAGTCCCGAGTGGACAAATAATGTCACAGAAAGTATGTATATATAAAAGACACAAAAACAAAGAGAAAAACTATCAAAAGTTTAAAAAGTAAAGAAACAATGAAATCTACCAAATGTTAGATTTTTTTGGAGTTCAATCCACAATGAATTATATGCACAGATACATTTATTTACATTCACACTCACTATTAGTTAACTCAATATCTGAGTTAAAATCTCCTACAAGCTTTTAGCATAATTCAGGCAGAATTGGTGGACTTAAAATAGTCAGGCTCTGGGAAGAATCTCAACTTTTAAGCTTAGTCGACACATTTTTTATTCAGTTTCATCCTATAAACTTAATGCTAGCATTCTTATTATTTCTAAAACAATTATAATTCATATTTGCCCTGATGGAACACCAACAATTTCCAAGATTAACAATCTCTAATATCCATGCCCCAATGAAAATAAATGTGTTAACCTCAGAACTAACTTGACTAAAATTAAACTGAGAACTTTTGCAATAAGTGCAAACATTTGCACCCAGATCTTAAATAAATCAGCTGTAGCTCCAAATTAATATGAGTATGTAAAGTTATGAACATGCATTAGTATTCACTTTCACAGCGTAATTATTAATCTGTGGGATTACCGGTAAGAAGTCTATCAAAATGAGAGTAAATTAAGTGACCTGAAGTTTTGCTGTGTGAAATATTGTAGAAAATGTTTCTCAGTCTTCATAAACAAAATCTCAGGAAAGAGCAGCGAAGAGCTCTTGAAATTCGTGAGGCATTAATAGTATGTGATGTTTTATCAACATCCCCTCAAATTACATGGTAGTGAACAAACAGAGTAAACAGTAATCTCTGCTTATTGGCTTCACTGTGATCATTTAGAAAAACAAAGCTATTTATAAATAAGAACATGAAAGCATAAAGTTTACGTCTGTTTACTTTGAGCTCAGCTTCTCCCGTCAGGAATGATCTGGAGAAAATCTCAGATAAAACATCTTGAAATTTTACCAGCAATGAGCAGCAAACGCTGAAGAGTTTATTAGCATCAGAGCAGGAACAACCAGACACTTCTGTGTAATTAACATTTATGTACTAATGAATTATGGGATAGAAGTAAATGCAGTACAACACTTCATACCTGCTTAATTTAGAAGATATCAGAACAGAATGTGGCATTAATAATTATTTGGTGTCTATCAACTATAAGTTGTGCTACTTTTGGGGTTTTATTCAATTAGTTTTAGAGAAAACATGATTCTTCTTCTATGTTTTATTTTGTCTTCTCCTCTTTGATGCCGCCTCCCGGCAAAAACATCCACTGTTTAAATTGTGCAAAGCTTTCTGTGTTTGCATTTACTCTCTTCACATGTCAGAGTTCTCCACTATTCTAGTCTGGTTGACTTAAAAACAATCCAAAAGCAGCACATTGGATTGATTGATCATTGCAATCTGACATTAGGAGAAAATGTGTGTGTAATTACAGCTAGATTGCACAATATATCTGAAACATATCCTAATCACAATACCTCTGCATGCAGTATTATCACCAAAGACTCTTTGGACTGCAACATGTTGGCAATTATAGTCTACGTGTCAAAGATTTACACTTTGCATGCCAATAATTTATACAGCTTGTGAGTCTCACTACAGTCAGTCCCTCATCTGGCACACATAATGAAGCCCAGGATGCTAAAGGTCACAGAAAGAGTTGGAAGCAACATAATGACAGATGGGAAAGAGAGCAGTGAGGCAAATATGTGGATTTATTAGAGCTGATGTTGTCGTTGATATATATGCTGTTTATATACAGTGTTTAAACAACCAGGTTTTCACTGGGCGTGAGCTGATGGTTTGATGTGACGTTGAAGATTTAGGATGCACTTCTCCCACTCCCACTGCCACTCCATTGTTAGATTCTGTCTGTATAATGCAAACAGTGCAACTGGTGGAGGTGGTCTGGCATCACTACCACACTTGGTGCAGTTTTCTTTAGCTTAAAAACTTAATTTTGACCCGTTCAAGCATTCTTCTCATTCTTGTTATCAAATAGCTCAGTGGCATCTTTGTCTTGTTTGGCCAAAAGACTTTTCTGTAGAAAACATTTGGCTTGTCCATGTGCGAAGTCTCAAATGTCAGCTGAGCTAAAAAGAAAAAAAGTGTATTTTGGAGAAAATGTTTTTCTTCCTTCCAAACTCCCAGTCCCAATTAAAATGTGTATGCTATGCCTAAAAGCTGAATCTGTGTCAAGAAACCAGATTACTTAAATGAACTCTGAAATTTT